GCTACGTCTGATCATAGTGAGATGTCAGAAGGTATAAATATTTGCTGAAAGTACTTTGGAAGTTAAACTGAACTGTGTTACTCTGCAGTGAGTGGTGTTTGTAATGTTCAGTGTGTGGTGGACAAACTAATAGCTTGATGTACAGTAACGCAGTGTGATTCAGCTGCTCTGTAGCTACAGCCACTAAAATCAAGTCACAGCTGCATCTCGACCTCTTTAAAACAATGTCAAGAAGGTAGAGTTTATTAAAGGGCTGTTATTTGGGATATTTTGTCACTTTTAAACAGTTACAGTATTTAACAAATAGAACAAATGTTCTTCTTTGCTGTACGACTTTTCTGTCTGCAGCAGCTCAGTGAAGAAACTTTGTCTGGTCAACCGGCCCTGTCAGGTCAGGCTGAGTTTATTACTTGCATTGATAACACACAAACTGATATCTTGCCAATTATTTACTATATCTAAGTGACAAAGCACTGTAGATCAAGTAGGCCATTTCTCTGGTCACACACAGAAATGGCTGCTACCAACAGAAAAACACATACAAATCTTGAGCAGTTATTCCAGATTATGCTTTTTTAAATTGTTCATATTAGTTCAAATTGTTGAAACCCACCGGTGGATTTAAAAGGCATGTTGTCTTTAAAAAGACCACCAAATTAACATAATTTATCAGAGCCACAAACTGTAAACACAGAGAGAATCATCAGATTTTCAACTTTCTGACTGGTTCTTGAACTATGTGTGGCCGGCTGTTCCAATTAAAAAGCTAAGCTTAAATTAGTGATATTTCATCAAAACCACTTCATTCTATGTGTCTGTTTAAAAATGTGAAAAAATAAAACACATAGACTCACCAGATTTGTAAAAAAAAAAATAAAAAAATTAAAATAAATAAATAAATCAACGCAACTGAGGAGCCATGACTGAGTCAGCTGCAGCTAACAGTTATGTGACAGAAATTCAGGTTGTGTTTACACAGAGCGGAGAGAAGACAAACATGCAAATACATTCAACATATAACTTGTTAAATCTCTATAGCATGTGGCGCCACCATTTTTTCCCGTTTTGGTAACACCTGGGGGCACTTGGAAAAATGGTGAACACCATTTTTCTCATTTTTAATGAAATGAATAATTGAAGAAACTCTTGTTTATGTGTGTGTGTGTGTGTGTGTGTGTGTGTGATTTATGGCATTTTAACGGTGTCATACTGCACTGCAAGACATTTCTGAGTTCTCTCTCCTTCTTGTCATGGTTGTGTTGTTTCCATAGAGGTGCAGGACTTTATGTTGCAGTGAAAAATAAGCTTACAGTGAAGAAAACCGTGACAGGAGTCAAAAAATGCCCAGAAACTGCTGAGAGTTCAGAGTTCAGTTAACTGCAAACAACACATCACTCATGGGCTCATCAGTATTTCTGTCTGAAACGCTGTGGAATTGATGCATAAAGCATAAAATCAAAGGAGAACAATAACTAAAAACAGTGATGTGCTGAGGTGATCCGTTAGTTTTCACCGCTCAGTGTTTTTTCTCCTCTGGGACAGCCGGAGATGGGATGCCGTTAGAGTATAAAGATGCAAGTGGAATCACATGTGGCTCCAGAAATAGGGTTTTTAAACCTGCAGTAGTCGAGGATTTCTCAGCCTGGATGCCTGATTGCTCAGTTTCCCCTTGAGAGCAGTGTCACTTCCTCATGCTGCTTATTGAAGTAACGAGGAAAAACCTCCCGTGTTTATGTCCGATTAGTCTCTCATTCATCAAAGACAGCTCTTCATGTTTTCCGTCTCCACAGTCTCTATCATGAAGAATCATGAAGTTACACAAGACTGAAGGCCTCTGTGATCGTTTAGAGAATCGTTTGCATGGTAAGCAGACCAGATAACAAACTGATGCTGAGCTCAACAAATACAATTAAAATTTAGTGTCATTTTTATCCTGTGTACTTCTGAAGCAGACTCCTGTTCACTGCACAGATTTACATGGCAGTAGACTTGCATTAATGATTGATGCACATGCGTGAACAATGGTCTCTTGAACAGCAGCGATGGAATTAAAGCTGCTGCTGAAGTGCAAAGCAAGTACAAGGATGTGTTTCAAAACTGTGTTCAAAAGAAAGGTGAGATCTAGGAAATGCCATGTTATTTGAAAAATAATCCATGTGTTGCGGATGAAAAAGATGAATGTTTGTTTGCACTGCAGTCATGTGCGAGGTGTCCCTGAGGTTTGAAAACAGGATAACGGCTACTTTAAGAGTTTCGTCCTATGCCAAATTTTCTCAGGCTGATTTTCTACCTCTTTGTTGTTGCACTTTTCTCCCAGCAGAGCAGTAAGTCAGTAGCTCCGGAAAAAGGAATAAAACACTGAGATTGTACAACAGGAACACCTTGTGTCTGTGCTCTGCCCGCCTGGAATGCTGTAAGGGCAGAAACAGAGAAGGAGGCGAGGGAGTGAGGATTGGCAGGAAAAAAAAAAAAAAAAGCCAACCACTAATGCATTGTTCAGTACATGTCTTGTCTGGTGAGTTGCGACATGTCTGTCACGCCTATATCTGTCTTTGGACTTGATAAAAGGCTTCCGGTATTCAAACTAGGTGCAGTATGGGCGACTCAAGACCAGTAGTAGTTTAAAGACGGTGGTTTACTTTTGAATGCGCGTGATTTCAGGCAGCTTCCAGGTTTTCTAAAACACATGGGTTATTCTGTCTTAAATCATCAGGGCCCTTTTGCTCGACTATCTCTGATGAACATTTTTTTAAATTCATAAACTGTTAATATTTATAATCATGTCTGTGAAAGTTTTGATTGGATATACCAAACACTTTCCGTTGACTCCCTTCAGCAGTTTTTTTTTTTTTCCACACATTGAAATTTGCTTCTGTTTGAACAGCAATATCTCAGGAACTAATGAAGATACAAGCCTGGAATTTCTCCTGTTATTTCTCATCATGCCATTGATTCAGGATCTGCAATGTCGTACAAGTAGGACAAGGCCCAGATTGGAATGCTGCCTGATTCCGGATCGGCCCAGATTGGAATTCCATTCTCGGTCGGCCTAAGATAGAATTCCAACCTGGCCGGGCCTGGAATGGAATCTTCATTTTTTTTCCTGCCGATTCTGATTATTCCAAGATTCTGATCTTGGCCAGCAAGCCAAATTCCATAGATATATGTAATAAAGGCTAGATGTCTTAAGGCGGCTTTTTGAACAGGATCACCCTTCGGCCATCTTGATACGGGGAAGCTCTCTGGCGGAACCTGTGGTATATGAAGGAAGGTGTGTGATCTGTACAAATGTAAATACTCTTACATCGCTGAAATCTTGATGGATTTACAAACAGTTTGGTTTCTTACAAACGTTGCCACCACCCAGTCCTCTCTGCACCCGACCCCTCTGATTCCCTCTGCGGGTGGTGGGTCCACAGGAAGGCGGGCCCACGTCGACCTTTCGGGCTGTGCCCGGCCGGGCCCCGTGGGCAGAGGCCCTACCACCAGGCGCTCGCATACGGGCCTCAACCCCAGGCCTGGCTCCAGGGTGGGGCCCCGGCTGCGCCATACCGGGCGACGTCTCTTTCCTTGGTGTCATCCTTGTCATAGAAGTTTTTGAACTGCCCTTTGTCTGTCCCGTCACCTAGGACCTGTTTGCCTTGGGTGACCCTACCAGGGGCATGAAGCCCCAGACAACATAGCTCCTAGGGTCATTCGGGCACAGAAACTCCTCCACCACGATAAGGTGGCAGTTCGAGGGGGTTTCCCTCTGAAGAGAGTAAATGTACTTACTATTGTTACTTTCCACTGTTGGCGTGCTGCCTTTTTGCCTTTGGGTGATCAGCATTGGAAGCAGAGAAATTCATTTTAAAACCATGAGCTCATTATCCATCAACCACCCTCAGATTTGTTCTGTGATGTGGGAGAAAATGTCAGGTCCCACCATTTTCTGCTTCAGGGATGGAGCTTGCATCACCCCGCTTTCAGTGTGATGACATTTATGAAGAGAAATGTCAGAATTGTTTAGAGGAGAAGGAAGGAGGGTTTGGACTTGTTGCAGAGAGATGTTTGGTCATGCTTGTCTTGTGAGTGACTTCCATGGAAACAGGAGGGCTGGTAAAATAGTAACAGCCATCTAAAGGAGGGTTGTTTGCAGCAGGGATGTGTGAGTCAGCTTCGGAGGCTGACGGCTGCCCTCCACTGAGGGCCATTCTGCAGCCGGGATACTCCCTGAGCCACTGGGCCTGCCCCATGCCCAAAAACAGAGGTGCTGTCGTGCCCACTGTTCAACCACAGACACACACACATGAATGTACTAACTTTTATTTCCATGGTGAGGATACACAGGCACTGACATCTTTTCCACTGCATCAGAACTTGATTGGACCTGTGGTCCCAATAACTCCACCCCGAAGAAATAAATATAAGAGCAGAATCGGTTTGCGTGTCAGACTTTCGCGATGACTTATTCTGTCATTCTCTGGGATTATAACATGAGAGCTTTGTGGACTTTTTCCTGCTTGGCTTCATCAGATAAGCTCAGTGACAGGTTATTTTTCTGCCATCACAACTCTGCTGTAAGGTGAAGAATGATTTCTATGTGCTCTCGTTTGATTGCTGTGTGTTTGCCAAGGTCACCTCTTTTTGTAAAACTGGAACAGAAATTCTCCTCTCATGTGTTTGCCTTGGGGTCGCCGGCACAGCCATTTTCAGCACAGAAAAGTGGGCTAAGAGTGTATTCTTCACAGCGACGGGGAGGAGCGGGGCGCCATCCACACATTCACACACTTCCACCCACCTGGGAGCTGCTCAGTATCATCGGTGTCACTGCGCTTTATTGACAGGCCACTTGCACCAGCCGCTGAGGTCAGGTTGACTGCGAGAGCTCTGTCTGAGCGGGAGGAAGAGATAGGGCCGCTGCAGAGGGAGATAAAGCTCAGCAGCTGCTTTGTGTGCACACTCAGCCTGCAGACTCCTCCTCGCCGCCTGCCCTTTTTCCCGGAGCTCCCGCCCCCCCCTCTCTCCCTCTCCAGCAGTAGCTACATGTGCAGAGCGCGACAGCAAGGAAAGCAGTTCAGGGCATGAGCCAAAGGCGCACACACCCACCAGCCGAGACTGCATAATTCAACGGATCCTCTGCTATACGCTTGTCTGGGGCACGGACTCACAGCAGCTCACACAGATCAACTTCCAGGAAAGGTCCTACACTCTCACATTTAGTCCCTTCAGTGGGCTGAAGTTGAGGCTCTCGCACAGCTAAGGTAAGCTTCAGAGAGTTTTCTCAGACTCCTGTGAGATTTTTGTGGCATTTTATGGCGCTTGTTTAACTTGTTCAGGTGGCTCATTTTGGAGAGGAGCAACTTTGAAAAGTTCATTTTAATGCCTGCTGTTACTGAACATCACAGCAGCACCTGTTAATGCTTTTTGGCAGCTTAAACGGATGCTTCGTTTATTCAGTCAGTCCAGAGAGTGTTTCTGTGCTCCTGTGGGCGTGTGCACGCTTCCCACCCACATGGGCGTGCATGTCTTTGCAGTTACTTTTGGTTATGGGCGGTGAGGGGATGGATAGCAAAGTTTGGTGCGTCCACTGGAATAAAATTTGGTTTTTCCCGCCTTTTACCGGGAAAAGCCTGTTTTGAGGCTTTTAGGTGGAGCAGCTGCTGAGTAGTGAAATAGCTGTTCATCACACCTGTTTGTCCACAGTTACAGATTACAGTGCTGGTACAATACTGTTTAAAAGATGTTTCATAAGAGTGAGTCTTTGCTTAAATTCCTTTAAAACATCCAGAAAATGCACCTTTTGCTTTTTCCCTTCCATTTTTGGGTTATCATGTTAGAAAATCTGAGCTGCATCTTGAGCAACAGAAGCTCCAGTCACCACACAGCTAAACAGTCCTACAGTGAATGCATATCCTTGTGGGGGCATCCTGTAACATTTGCTTATATTATGAGTCAACACTTTGGCATTCAATTCAGTTCTGTTGCAAGTGGTTGTGGGTGAGACGATCACAGCAGAACAGGCTGATCTCAAAGGAGTTAAAGCAATTAGAAGCTTTTCTTTTGTGATTGGCTTCCATTTCTGGCAAAACTCTGCGGAGGGCAGAGAGGGAGGGATATGTGTTTATTTGTTTTGCAGCTGCATAAATTTAGGAGTCATTAGGAAAGAGTTTAATTGTCTTGTGAGTAAGCAGGTTTTGGGAAATATGCTGAGCAAGAAGTGTAAAGTGGCTTAAAAACGCCTCCAGCAACTCGGTGGTTCAAAGGACAGCAAGGTGGATGTTATCACAGTGTGCAGTGAAAATATCAGTGTGAATGAGGAATGTTATCAGGAGCACTACAAGCCGGAAGGAGGGCGTGAAATCTGTGACTCTGTATTTTAGAAAATAACAGTGGTTTCCTCCAAAAAGCATCAGAAGTACTAAGAAAAAAAGCTTTAAATGAAATTTTATAAATGTGCTTGCTGGCTGTGGGAAAAGCCTCCTGCTTTGAACGCAGCTCAGGCAAGAGCGACTGGAATGCAACATTGGAACATTTCTTCGGCATAATCTCTATTAAAGTTTAACTTGTGATTTGGTGCACTGTATTTCCAGGGAAGGCAGCCCAGATACTTAACCCTTCTTCTTTCCTCACCCACAGCCAGTGACTCACCCCGTCTGCACCTCTTGCTGAGCTAGCATTACCATGGCAACCCCAGGCCAAAGGCGTTCCGGTCGCGGTACTACCTCCATCTCTCCAGCCCGCCTCACCCGGCTGCAGGAGAAAGAGGAGCTGGGCAACCTCAATGACCGGCTGGCGCAGTACATCGACAAGGTGCGCTTCCTGGAGGCGGAGAATGCTGGGCTGCGGTTGCGCATCACTGAGACCGAGACCTTGACCGAACAAAATCAGACAGGGATAAAGGCGGCCTATGAGACGGAGCTGGCCGACGCCCGCAAGACCCTGGACCAGGTGGCCAGGGAGCGAGCACGCCTGCAGCTGGAGCTGAGCAAGATCAGGGACGAGCACAAGGAACTCAAAGCCAGGTAGGGGGTGCATCGGAGAGAAGCTACTTCAGTCCAGTGGATGTGACTGCATATACAGATTTATATATTATATGGGTTACTGTATGTTATTTGAGACAGCAGGGTTGCTGCACTATTTTAGACCCAAAACTGAATTCTGTAACATATGTTGCTGAATTTTGAGAATTTTACATTTTCACGTAATCTTGTAATGTCCCCCTCAAAAAACTTCCAAAAAAGACATTTTAGGCATTCAGTATCTCCAGAAATATAACTGGCACAATTAGTTTTTCACAATTAGTTTGGTGTGGACACAGACGCGTTTGATTTATCAAAAAGGGAGTTTTTTGGCTTCCTGTCTGATCTGAGTTATTCCATATTTAACATGGGCCAATACCTGTTATCATTTTCCTTGATCATCTGCAGCAGCGGTCCCCAACCTTTTTTGCACTACGGACCGGTTTTACGCAAGAATTTTTTCTATGGACCGTGATTGCACACATAACTAAAAAATAATCTTTTTTTCTATTAAAAAATTTCGGCTTCGTTAAATGGCCGGGCATGAAAACTGACAGTCAAGTGCGGAAAACAACCATAGACCGAAGTGACGGGAAGACAAGCTAGTACTTTTTCAAAATAGAACACCCTGTGGACTGCGCTGGAAATATAAATAAAACAATGAAACTTTTTTTTTTCTTTCTGTGCGGCCCGGTACCAAATGACCCATTGCCCAGAACCGGTCTGCGTCCCAGTGGTTGGGGACCACTGATCTGCAGTATTCAAGCATTGCAAATTAGCTGCAGTGCTTGAATGCACCACCAGGTGAAGCCTCTTGCTGCTTTATACTGTACTATAGACTTCTGTGTTGACAAAAAGAGTGCATTGTGTGAGTGTGGCAAGTAAAGGGGCACCATGACAAAGTCTTTTCTGAGGCTTAATGACATACTTACAAAGCGTGGTTGCTAATTCAAACCAGATGTAAATAAAACTGCAACAGTGTATCTGACCGACAAACAAAATAGTTACGTGCATGGCTTGTTTTGTGTACTTGTGTGACAAGGGAAGTAAACGAACATCTACCAAAGATATCAATAAATTTGACTTTGCTCTGGCCTTCTCGTGACAGCTGTAGAATGAATGGCTCCTACAGAAGATTCTTAATTATTGGCCCTTGAAAATGCAAAATTTTCACGAGTGTGGTATTTGGGTCCCAGAAAGTACCGGAAATGTGTGTGTGTGTGTGTGTGTGTGTATATATATATGTATCATTTTTTGTTCCTTCAGCTGATAACGCTATCATTATACATGATGTTGCTGTAGCACATCAACCAGCATAGGTTTGTTATCATGCCATCATACATGTGTTTTCTTAGCATTAGTTAAGGTGGCGTTGCATCAGAATACCTGAACATGCTGTCATGTTGCATTTTGTGCTGCTGCTGTGCCTCCAACTCACGCCCAGTGTTGTTCTGAGCAGCTGATGTGGTGCAACACCCTATTCATCTTCCAGGAATGCGGTGCCGATTGTGGAACCAGACCCGACATTAGTGCCTCAGATGACATTCCTGGCGGTTAGGTTTATGCAAGTCGTTAGTTTGCGAGCGCAGTTGTGTCACTTCAGGCCTCCGGGGCAGTTGGAAACAGCACACCTCCGAACAAACAGACTCCACCTTCCACACACAGCCTCCTCTGTTGAGGTGGAATGACTGCGCTGATGGAAGAGTGTCTTTCATTGCAGGCAGTGACATGATTCACAGTTCAAAGCACCATTTGATTACTTCGTGTAATATTGCGTTACTGACGGAAGCAGAAAGGGAGAAGTTTATCAATTAACTCTCTGAACACCAAGCGGGTTCTTGCTCTTGCGCACCTGTGTTGAAACAGCACAATCATGACCACAGGTAACGATATTTCAGACATATCTTCAGCGCTGTATGACACAGAATGATGGCAATCATAGAATCACAGAAAATACCAAAAAGTTGAATTTCTTGATTAATTATTTTACAAAAAAACATAAACCTAGAATCAACGTTTTAAGTGCCCACAGGTGGTATAAATACTGGGGAAGAAGATATTTTACTACTTGTGTTTTTTTGCTTGTCTCTGTATAGGTCTTCTTTCTGCTTTGTGCACACACAGCCTACAGTTCAACCAAAAAGTTCCTGAATTTTTGTCAGTAATTGGTTCTTGGTTGCCCTAAAAATTGCAAACGGTTAATTTTAGGAAAGTTCTTAAAATAGACTTTGAGGATAAAGACATTATGATCAAATATTCAGATGTTCAGCTTAGATTTGGTTGTTTTTACAAGCACTTTTGAAAATGTAAATATCTGCCAATTCTTCCTGTTTGCACAGTTTCTTGTGCCAATAAATAGTGTAATTTGAGGGATTTAAAGAAAAGGAAACAAAAGATGCCATGTTTTGGTGTTTGGAGGGTTAATTTACTGATTTAGATTTAGATTTAAAACTGAGGCATTTCAATGATGCTCTGAAAATAACCTTTTGAGTAACGAATTACTACACTGAAGTTACTTGAAAAACACGTGGGATAATTATGTTTGATGGTGCAGTAAACCATAGTAAAGTTTGAATGAGCCATTGAAAAAAAGCAAACATTTTACAGTATCATTGGAGAAGATGAACGGTTAATATTTTACTTGGAAAGCCTCACAAAAATCACCTTTCAGCAAACTTGGCAGTGGTGTTTGTGTGTGTGTGTCTGTGTCTGTGTCTGTGGTGTGTGTGGTGTGTGTGTGTGTGTGTGTGTGGTGTGTGGTGTGTGTGTCTTCAGGTGCTGTACGCTTCTCGCCTCTCACCTGAGGAATGTTGTGATTCGTCTCACGAGCAGGTCGGCAGTTGATTGTGTGCTGTGAATGTATGCAGATCAGACTGCTGCCGTAGGCCTCAGCCAGTGGTGGCTTCTGAGGAATGTGTTAACGTCTTGGCGAAGTGCATTTGGGGTTAGAGGGGTCTGACAAAGTGAAACTGCTAAATATAGCCGGCTTGTGTTTCCATATGTGCTCATTTACAGGGTGCAGGAATTTTTTTCTTTTTTTCAACACACCTTTAAGAAATTGCATTCTTTTCAGTGCATATGTTCTTATGTGGCCACAGGTGTTACCAATAACAAATTAACAATTTCACCATGCTGGATGTAACTTCCAACAACTTGGTCCTGTGTATACAGTTTCTGAGCCATGCTGCATATATTTTATTTATCAAGTATGTTTTATTTTTCTCTCAATCTCTTTTGTGGCTTCCTCTTTGCTTTGTGGAAACACTGCCTGCAGCTCAACCTAAAACTCTCACAGCTGAATCCATCATATTTTGTCAGTTGTGCAGATTTTTATTTTTTGTTTTTATTTTTTTGGCAGTTAACAATAAATAAATTAATGAGACGGATAATAAGATTTTGAGGAAATATCCTGATTTTAGACTTTGATTCGATCAACTTTACCTACGTAATTATGCATCGCAAATGATTTATTCAAGGAGGCTGGCAATCTGATGATATTCTTCTGTTTTTACACTTTCTGGCTCTGAGAAATTGTGGAACTGTGACTTTTTTTTGAAAGAAAACATGCCACTTGTGGATTTTGGGATTTAATGGGTAACTCTTGTCCTTAATCTGCAAAACATATGTTTGGGAGACACGACTAATGTGAGCAAAACTCAGTGAAAGCTACTGCCTTCTTTCACCGGTGAATAAAACATTTTCAAATCCTGTATGAAATGGGCCTTTAATGTGGCTCAACTGTGCGCTTCAGCTATGTTGACTTCTTTTCCCGAGCTCATCAGTTTGTAAATTTGCACATGCTGCAGGTGGCCGAGGATAAAACGCCGCATGTAATGTGCAGGTGTTGAGAGAAGAGTATTATTTTCACAGCATCCACCATGTTGCTGTGCTTCTTGTAATTCTGCAGCTACTTGTCCCCCACAGCTATATTGTTTTCCACAGGAAGCAGCCCTTTTGATGCATGTGTGCTGGAACAGATTCAGTCAGTCCAGCCTGGACCGGCTTTATCTGTTAGACTTGCCAGCATGCTTGGTGTTTGGTTGCCATGGAGGCAAGCCGTGTGACGGGGTGGTGACTCAGAGGTTTTTTAGGGCCTCTGGAATGGACTGAGTCGACTCACTGTGACGGGAAGTTGAATTTATTAATACACACTGACGGGCTGCTTTGACTTGCCGCCGAGCCGAGCTTCAGGTGGCGGCGGTGGCGGCAGACGGCAGACGGCGGCGCGACAAACGCCTGACAGCTACTCCTCATGGCGTGTCAACTTTGTGTTGATGTCCTTGGTTATTTCCCCCACATTTGACAGAACACACAGCAACAGTTGGAGCCTTCAGTGCAGCTCGGTTGACAGGGCACACCTGTTTGGCCGAAAGGCTCGACGCTGCATCTCTTCACACGTCTTTGTATGCACAACTACTACAAGGACCACATGCGCTCCCCCCTGAGGCAAAACCTCAAGCTGTTGGGTCAGAATGCCAAGCCTTCTCCCTGCAGCACTGTTTGACTTGTAAATAATTCAAAACTGTGGGGAAGAGAAAAAAAGAAAAAGAACATACATAAAAATTGGCAAAAGCAGGTGTGAGAGTAATGTGGTGTTGTAAACAGAAGTCTGAGCTTGAAACATGGAGACACTGCTGCAGGCTGAGAGTAAAAACAGGGCAGAAAAACACTAAACTGGATTGTTTGTCTGGTGTCCTGTGCTCAGTCCGGCATCCAGCTGTGCTGCTGGCTCTGAAACATAAGCCTGTGTGGGGGAATGGGCTCATCGGTGTGTGGAGGGCAGGACTCATTGTTTAAATCCTTCCAGGTTGATGAGAAGATTTGTGTTGACGATTTCATCCTACACATGCCGGTTTCTGTTTCTTTTCACTACATGCTGATATGTAAACTAAATTAGGCGAAGGATTAAGTATTACTCCTGTTCAGTGTCCATTAAAAGATTCCATCACAATGCACTCTCACTGTAAGATAAGGCACAAAAAATCTATTCACATTCTTATATA